ACCCAGGGTGGTTGGAATGATGACAAGTGGAAGGCACAGGAAAACAAAAGGAAGAAGTCGACACCAGCAAATGCAACGAAGGAGGACAGGACACAGAAGCTCGTAGCCGAGATCAAGAAGGAAAAGGAACAGGGACTCCAGTTCGAGGCGGGGAAAAGAAGCGCAGTCAAGGGAGACAGAGACCGAGAGAGACAGTGAGAGGCACAGCTAGAATAGAGACGCCAGGGCGAAGCCAAAGCGTTGCAGAGATCCTTGGATGACTGCTCCGAGAAGCTTCAGGCTTCCGAGGCCGGGCGTAATTCACTACATGCGCAAGCCTACTACAGTCCCTGAATCCTGCCAGGGGTGGAGAGTCGCGAATTTGCTGGAGTGCCAGCAGCTCTCCGAGCGACTAGAATCCCAGGGGATTCTGCAGAAGAAGCACATGGAGATGGAGATGGCTTGCAAAGCCTCCGAACAGCGCGCGGAGAACCTGGAGGCGGGAATCTGGTGATTTTCGGGGCTTGCGTCTCGAGGACCAGGAGGCCGGCTGAAGCACCTTGCTTGCTATTGCTTAAATTCTGATTGGCGCAGGCGCGCTTGAAGCAAGAGCTCCGTGACCAGGAGGCGACGGATTCTGATGCAGTGTTTAATTGCACCTTAATGTGTTCAGGTGCTCATGAAGCAAGAGGTGGCAGACAAGGAGGCCCTGGATTCTGACGCAGTTTCTGCACGCTAGTGCTCAGAAAGCCTTTCGGTGCAGGCAACCTCCAGCGAGCTGAGGCAGGCGAAGCTGGACAATCGACTGGCTGATGTGGCGGACCTCTTCAGGGAGGAGGCTGGTGCTGCTTCCTCTCTCCTTGATCGAAGCCAGGAGGATGAACGCACAGATGCGGAGGGAAGCCGAATCCGTCCGTTACTGGCGCAGCCGAGGGATCGGGTGCAATGGCATCTAATGTGCGGCGCATTTTATGCCAAGACTCAGTGCAGGAAGCTCAGGTTCATAGCCTTCCGCCTACTGGGCCCC